CCCCAAAATAAAACACCTCTAAGACCCTCATTTCACATTATTTCCCTACCCATGATTCTTATCTTTCATGCTTTTCAAGTTCAGAGAAACCACCATGTTAAAATAAAAGAATTGTTTAAAAAAGAAATACAATGAGAACTTACAAAATGAGAGAACAGAAAAAGCTAGGAGTGTAGAGCGGGAACCCAAGTTTTCTCTGCTATTTAGTCTTAAAATTTGATAATGCTAAGAAGAAGAAATAACAAAAGATGGTTTTGATTTTTTTCACCATTGTTAGCGTGAAAACTGTGCTTGCCAGTTGCTTTAATGGGAAGCTTCCCACTTCGACACGATCACATTTCAATTTTCCATTACGTTTTATATTTTATTCATTAGTGGAATTTTCATTGTTTTTTAACATTTTCTTCGGAAAAAGTAGTAAAGTACCATCATTGTATTCTTATGTTCTCACGGTCACACTGGAATCATGCTAGGCATCGAAAATTAAGGTGGTTCGGAAAATGGAATTTCGAATTTTAACTTATTATATACTAGTAGGGAATTGCTTTTACTTAAAAATAAATAGATAAATAGTTATTATATTTTTTTTCTTGCATTAGAATATAAATTAAAAAAATATTTGAAATAGATATTTTCTTTATATTCAGAATAGATATTTTTAGATTAAAACTTTATTATAAATACTTAAAAGTAATTTTATAACATACATGTGTATTATAAAATCATTTTAAGTATTTATAATCAATCTTTGATCTCAAATATTGATTTTATGAAGAAAAATTTAGAAATTTTTAATTATAAAAAGAAATTCAGACATATTATCATATTGTTGCATTGGTCATATATAATTAATGTACGAGATAATGAACGTAGAGAGATTTTAAAAACATCATATATCAAACGACTTTTTTAACTTTTATTAATTATTATTGTACAATTTTTTAAAGGTTAAATTGTCAACAATAATGTGTATATTAAATTAAAAAATCTCTTTTATATATAAGTAGATTAATTAAGGAAAAGACTAAGTGGAAAGGTTAGTGATGTTTCCCAACATAGAAAACTAATCTCTACCATTAGATTTATTAATTTTTAAATGAAGGGATTAGATTTTTTTTTGTCTTTTCTTTTTAACTTTTTCTTGGTTTTTATTGATTTGTTCCTATCTTCCTTCTCTTTCATTAGAATTTATGTCAGTTGACAACCGTCGACCAACAATGACAATATGTTTAGCATTCTAGACTTTATTAGATTAATAAATGAATTATAAAAAAATATGAGTAGCTAGAAATTAATTCCTAAATTATTTATAAAGGATTGTGAAAAGTGTGTGTTTGTTTGTAGTTAACCAAAAATTAGGGGTGTTCATGGATCGGTTTTTTCAAAAAACCGATCCAAACCGAACCGAACCGTTTTATAAAAGTGGATCGGTTAACTGATCCATTTTTTATAAAGTGGATCGGTTTGGTTTTTTTAAAATATGGATCGGTTTTTTTGAAATTGGATCGGTTCGGTGCGGTGCAGTTATCCACTTTTTTACTCATATATGGATCGGTTTTTTTAGAAAACCAAACCGAACCGAACCGATCCACTTTGTAAAAATGGATCGGATAACTGAACCGGTTTTATAAAATGGTTCGGTTCGGATTTTTTTTAAAAATGGATCGGATTTTTCAATATGGATCGGATCGGTTATGGATCGATTCGGATCAATTTGGATTTTTTGCACACCCCTACCAAAAATTACTAAGACTCTTCATCAGTTAGTGATGAAATCTTTATGGAAGATGATTGGTGAATTCTTCAAAGAAGATTTCAAGCTCCTTCAATATTCACCTATGAATCAAAATAGCAACGAAAGCAAACAAAAATGGATAGAAAAGATGATGGATGCTGCTTTACCTTCGAAGGAGACGGAAAAACAAGAGAAGTAATGAATTTGTCATAAGGAAGAATTCATTTATAAAAAGTCTTAAGGAAAAAATTATCCAAAGAAAGAAAGTGACTTTGAAGAAAGAATTTTGGAAATTCTAATCTCATTCAAAGTGACAAATACAGGCAAGAAAAAAGAATACATAGTGTGAGGTAGCTTAGGAAGCAAGATAGGCTAACCATGATCAAAAATGAATCATGGTTGTTTAATCAAGTATTCACTAGTGGAAAACGAGGCTTTTACGTCACCTCTTTCTCATCGGACTTAACAAAAACTGACGTAAAAAAAATGCGGTGATATTTTTGTAATTTTTGCAAACTTTTTTACGTCGGACCCTACCAGGTCCGACGAAAAAAAAGTAGCGCAAACGAATAAAAAGAGTGCATGGGAGGCACACGCACGCACACACTCACTCGGATCTCATCACTTTTCTAGATTCTTCTCTGTATAAACCCTCTCCCTCTCCTTTGTTGCTAAATTGTATTTTCTATCTTCTGCGGAGTGGGGTGAACTCTTCGTTACTCGTTCGCACATTGTTGTAGCTCAGGTATGAATCGCTAACACCTTTTTGCTTCGCATTGCTATTGTGGCTATTTGTTCTATTCGGTCTTTATGTTGTTCTATTTGTTTGGGTTGTCGGCCTTTTCTTCTGGGTTGTTCTATCAAGTAGAACGCCTCGTTCTGCTTGTACTCGTTATGTTTGTTTTTGTTTACAACTTTTTTACGTTGAATCTTGGCAATGTCTGACGTAAATTTACGTCAAATTTCACAACTGAAGTAAATTTATGTCTCCCGCTTTAACGTCGGACTTTTTTTTGACGTAAAAAGATTAAAATAACTGACGTAAATTACCTCTTTTGCACTAGTGATTAGAATAAAAGACAATGTTAGAGTCCCTTAATTTTAAGTTTTGTTGTTAACAAACAGAATTTTTTTATCAATAGTATAAAGTTTTCAAAATAATGAAAACAAATCATTCACTAAGATGCAAGTCATTAGTAAGATGAATCATGTATAAGATGATATGTTCATTGAGATGATTTTGTTAAAGAATAAGATGAACTCTTAGTCATAAAAAGAGATATGTATTAAATCATTATTATTTATAATCTCTAAACAAGATACTGACTACGTTTGAACAATTTTTTAATAGATCAAATTTCAAAATGCTTACTTAGTACCAACGCTATACCAAAAGGAAATTAAGATATGTTTTGCATCAAAAAAGGATCAGCAAATCTCTACAAACACATAAAGTTGCAACCAAAAGTTGTTTCACCATTACAACATCTTGACACACGCATGGTTCTACCTACTCGGTGCTAAAAGGTGATAAGTAGTTTCCTTGATTAAATAAGAAGTGACAATTTGACGAAAAAATTTAATATAAGCATTTATTACACCAATGGACACTTCTCTCCTCAAAAAGCATATTGGGAAGACAATAAAGCAAGCCATGAGAGAGAACTTCAAGAACTTGCAATGGTCATCTTTGCCAAAGTCATATAAAAGGAAGTTTAAAGCTCATAAAGAAAGATGGATCGATAATTATAAAAACTATATTCTTTCTTTCCATAAAAAGTCTTTGTACCTAAATTTGTTGTATCAAGTTTTAATAGGAAGATGAAACAACATTGTAAACCTTAGTAACTCTAAGTTATTGGTTTTGAGCCTAAAGTGGCTTGTCTATAAAAGAATACTTATTATTTAAGCTTGGAGAGACTTGACTATAAAAGAATACTCGATGTTGAATCCTTGAGAGGCTTTGTGTACAAAGAATACTTAGGTAAATTGCTTGAAGAAACAATTCAAAGAATATTTAGGGTGAGCCAAAAGTGGTTTAGTAAAGAATACTTGTATCTTTGACAAGATAATGGAAGTTAATCTAGTTGGATCAAGAATTGGACATGGTCTTGATGGTTAAAATGAACCAGTATAAATCCTTGAGTTCATTCTTTACTTTGTATGCTCTCTCATTTCTATCATGATTACTTCACTACATAGAGAAAAATAGGAGTTTTTGAGTAACATTATTCAACCTCCTTTTAGTGTTCCTTTTTTCTCCACAATTTGATATCAAAGCTCAGTCTTTGACATGATTGAGCACCTAACAATGCCAAAGGAAAAGATCCTAGGATGGCGAGCAGTGAAGGACAATACCTACTAGAAAAAGCTTATCATCTAAGATCCCTAACCTTCAATGGATAAGATTACCCATATTTAAAGGATAGAATGGAGATGTTTATTAAATCCACTCAATATCAACTCTAGAGGATCATTATAGAAGGAGATATCACTATAACAAAACTAGAAAATCAACTTACCTATGACAACTACAACATATTACAGCTCAACATAAAGCCATATACATTTTGGTTTGCTCATTATCCAGAATTGAATACAACAAGTTCTATAGTTGTAAAATAGCAAAAGAAATATGGGAAGTCATTAGGGTAACTCATGAGAATATTGAGGATGTCAAACTCAGATAAGTTGTCACTCTTCAAAGACACTATGAGTTATTCTCCATGAAGGAGAATAAATCCATTGATGAAATGCTTGGAAGATTCCAAACAATTTTAAATGGGCTAAAATCCCTGGGAACTAAGTTTTTCAAAGCTTAGAATAATCTTAAGATCTTGGATAGTCTTCCTAATATTTGAGAACCTAAAGCTACATCCATATCAGAAACACGTGATTTGAAGATTCTTGCCCTTAATGAGCTTCTAGGAGCTCTAAGAGGTTATAAGGTTCACCTAAATAATAGAGATCATCATAAAGTAAATGACTCTATTGCTCTAAAAAGTGGTGAATCTAATAAAAGAAGAGAAAATAGTAAGGCTCTTAAGGTTGAATCTGAGTTTGGCAATTTAGATGAAAGTTTTGAAGACTTAATAGATGATGAGATATCTCCTATGTCTAAGAAGTTCAAGAACATGTTGAAGAAGAAATGAACTTAAGGAGTTTCCACAAAAAGAAGGACAAGTATAAGAAATCTATTCAAAAAGATAACAAGGAAATCATCTACTATGAGTATAAGAAACATGGACATATGAAGGGTGAATGTCCCACACTCAAAAAGCAATGGACTAACAAGAAAAAGGCCAAGAAAAGTTTGATGGCCACATGGAAGGATTTGGACAAAAATAATTCAGACAATGAGAAAGTCAACATCTGCCTCATGGTAGATGTAGATGCAAATACAAACGATTCAGAGATAGAGGTAAAATCTGACCCTAACTCTTATTCTTTTGATGATTCTGATGAGGAAGAGATGTGTTATGAAACTCTTATGGCAAACTCTCATATGATTTCTCTTGAGTATAAAAAATTTATAGAAAAATGTAAAGTCTTACAAGAAGAAAAT